ATAGCCGATTATAATCGTAGTTGATTGGTTAGTTCTGTCGATTGAACGAATTATCTAGGTTTAAATGCTAATCAACATTGACATGAAGCAACGAAAGTTCACAGATTAACATAGGCGATGATAAAAATGAAAAAGAATAAGTATAGAATACAATAATAAAGATTATAGTGATAGGTTGCGTTATTCGAAGTCTTGCTCACCAGTGTAGATCACCAACGTAGATGATCTATGTCGAAATGATTGGAGGCCGACTCGAGTTAGACGTGAATAGTGTGACGAACCAACTAACGTCGAAGTCACACCTCGTGGTCAGCACCTTACGTGGACTACCTTCATTGACGTAACAAGGTACTATAGATGCTTTGAAGACTGTACAACACAAAGGACGTTATTACAGAAATATATTAGTTAAAGTAGATACAAGCGAAAGTAAGACCACTGCCGCACGGGCCAGTCCATGGCGTATGATTCTAATGCGCGTTGCTTGTACATGACCTTGGCAGGGAGCGATGATCTGTTCGACATTCAGTGATCCAACTGCCAGATGATTTGGCTAGGGCTCAGTGACATTTCACTGGCCCTACAAGTTGTCAAAAGCTGGAACTCGCTGCCGGCCGAGCTAGTCCAAGCGACTTCTCAGGAGTCCTTCAAGAGGCAACTTGACCTATTCTTAAGGACCAAGGACATCATCGCACTATGATTTACCAATTTCTTTTCCTCTTTTATTGTTAACATACCTAGGTTCCTGCCTGGAGGATTTGGTGATCCCCTGCTACTAGACACGGAAGCCTGTTAAGCGAAAGCTTCTTCTATTCCGTCCACAACCATTTGAACCATTTGAATCCCTGTTTACATTAGACTAATAAAATCGCTCCATAAAGAGTTATGTATTTCATGGATGTCTCAGCTAGAAAAACTTCGTGAACCGTATACTTTGATATTCCTGACTCTTGACGAAAAAACGATGACCGGATGAATTTAGATTCTCCGGATAAAGATAGCAAACTTCGAACGTAACATAACGTGTCAAAACAGGATCATCGAGCTGTGCTTTCTCATTGGCTCATAATGCTTTGAGAAATGAAGAAATATGTTTGTTCCTTTGTCAGTTAACAGATAGTCAAGTGACTAAAAGAACTGTATCCATTTAGACACTTTTCCCTCATAGTATCCGCGCGGTCCTAGATGCTCTACCTACCCTACATCTACACGTACACCACGTTGGACAAGTAAGATTTATCCATCCTACTTAGTATCTGTAATGTAGCAATGGACTGAAAGACTAAGAGCACAAACTAAGATCTGCTCTTCAACCTGAGTGTGCCTGGACTTATCAACATCCTTGTGAAGGCTGGCTCACACTTAATGCACTTTGACTACTCCACCTCGATCGTTGTTAGCCGATATTCCTGTACTAAACCTTCATCATAGAATATGATTATTCAAGAGCAGTTATCCAAAATGCTGATACGTTTAACAGGTCTACTAACATCCTTTTGTGGTTATGGGGTGATGTGATGATGAACGAAACCCCAAAATCACTACCATGTCAGTTCCCGAAGTTAATGCTGAACTTACTAAATTCACTGGATACACCCTTAGCCGAAGGCCCTCCCTCAAGTTTCCATACCTATCACGTTTGGTTCTCCTCGACTATTTAAGATTCTTCACACTGTGGTTCGCCAGCTTTTGAGCTAAATACAAGTTTACAAAACGTAACCCCCAACCTTTGACTTTGCTTCTCTAGGGATCACTTGGAATAGAGATATTTCGCTCACTGAAATTTTCAAACCCTGCATATATGTTCAATGAATCCCGAATCAGTATTTCGTCGGAAACATCATACAAATCAATGTATCCATCATATAGCAGATAACAAAACATTTACGATTTGCTCGGTTTTCAGTCTAATTTCCAGTCAAACTGATAGGTTTTACCGTGGTAAAAGCTAACGCAGAACACCTGACAAGCTGAACCGATGCATTCTGGTTCAACCGTTTATACGTAAATACACTGTTATTCTTGGGCGTTGTTGCATTCCTCTTTGGTTTGATCAGTGAGGTTACCTTGCCAATATATCAACAAGGGTAACTCAAATAATTCCTAAGAATCGTCAACGAGGAAATAGAGGATAAAACGGTTCTTCAGAGTTTCGAGCGATGGTGTGACTGCAATCCTTGGAAAGCGACCGGAAAATCTTCAGACATAACACAAAACATAGCTTTTAGATTTAAATGACGCCATTTAAAAGGTTGATTCGAACCTTAAATTAGAAAAGCTTATTGGAATAGAGTGACTTGAAAAATATGCGATATATCATGATAATATTTCTTTTATTCCCCTTGATGCGCAAGATGTAGATCTATACCTTTAAAACAAGCTGTATAAGGTTTAGCTCTAGGAAGACTTAAATATCCTTATCTGCCATTGCTTAAATTTCATGGCTTGCTTCGTTGACAGAATGGAGTAGGGATATTCCGGTAAGTGATTTAGAAATGCTGTTTAAGAATTATTTATGCTTACCGGGATAAAGTATGTCAAGGGTTTGTTACTTCCTCTTCTCTACAAACAGGCACGAATACCTCAAGTCGGTTCCTACAGTTTAGACCTAACACTTATAAATGTAGCGGTAAATTAATCCAAAAATAGGTAGTTGTCTAGGTCTTTGATATCGATGCTGAACTCGTTTATTTATGGAAAACATCACAAAAACGCTTGGTGAAACATCTGACTTACATCACCATTTGGTAGTCCATGTTATACATACCTCGCAAAAACTAATGAGCCTAGATCTTATACTTCGAGACACATTGGATATATACCTTCGAACCACCTCCATCCCTGACTTCCGGTGTATCTGAGTATGGGAACTTTAATTACAAAGGTACGACGGAAAACAGAGATGTAAGACACTGAATTTTCCCGATATTTTCTGAACCTCATAGTTCCCCATTTTTATGGTCGATAAAAGGATAGTCAGTTCAGTCAAGCGTCATCCTTTGTAACCAAAGAACTCATCGCGATTCCCAAATTATGATGAGGTCTTAATAATACCCAGAGCAAATCAAACAAAACGGCTCAGTCTCGTGGCTATCAAGGTTACTACTAATTATAGGTGGGAGACCAATGCCACGGTAACTAATGGTTTAGAATGACGACTGTTCGCTATAGGACTTATAAATTGGGCTTATAAAATATAGCATGAATACCAAATAAAAGGTCACATTTATTCGGCATTCTGGTTCTAGATAACCCAAGCAAAGGCCTTCCGAAATGCTCTTAGGCTTGCAAAAAAGCTGTAAAATAATTTCAAAGGATAGGGTGCATACTAAAATATGACTTAGTCGTTTCAATAAACGTTACCTACGTAGTTGTATCTTTTTCCAGTTATTTTATTGGGAACCCATGTTTTACATAATGCCTGTGCGTTCAGTTGTTTCTAGCCATACATCACTGACATTATAACTGAAACAGTAGATGAAAGGGGTTTAAATAGTTGTTTATGATTAGATTAGATTGACAACAGTTTAATCATCCTCGGAAATTGCGCTTTGTTTTACTTTTAATTCTAATTTGACAAGTCATTGGTTTTATATGTAGTTAGTCTTCAGAGATAATAGACGAAATTATGAAATCAGACTCATTACTATTAAAGAATGCCTGATCATCGAAATGAACCTTTGTTCTATGTTGATGTTTTCTTCTACTGAATGAGAATTTATCTAGATCTTAAGTTCTGTTTTAGTTGATAAATTTTATCTAAGTCATCATACACTGTTAAGCATTATGGAAGTAACATAATATTATCGCTTTTTTCGGCATGCAGTTACTATATTAGGTTATTTTATGGATACCATAATTAGCATCAGCGACAGCCTACTCGAGGAGAGAACAAACCAACTTCCAGCTAAAGAGAGAATTAGGACAAGACGTTGGAAGTAGATAGGACATATATTATGAAAATCACTAAACTCCATCGCGAAGCAAGCTGTCCTGAAGGGACACGTAAATGAGAAAGGTTGAAGAACTCACTTCGTTGAAAATTGAAATCAGATATGAAAAGGATGAATAACAACTGGAAATGTTTGCCGATGACAGTGTTCGTATGATCATGCTAGTAGGCTCCCTATGCTCCTCCATAAGTAGTAACAGACATAAGTAAGTAAATATGTAAGTATAATTAACATTACAAATAATATTATTTATAGCACAGATTACAATTGAATATCGTGGGAGAAAAAACATTGCAAAACCAATACATTTCTTATAAGATTATCAACTAATATCAATCTTTTAAGTGAATACTTGACTTGAATTGAACATTGTAGGTCATTCATTTAAAGAAATTGTTATTATGAACATGACAAGACTATAGATTTTACTTAGATTTTTTCCTAATTTCACTTTTAATTTTATGTTCCTTATGAGAATTATGAATGGTAACTGTTAGAATCTATTTCTGGACTAATAATTTGTATATATATTGTCGTATAACACTAAGTAACTAAACTATTCGGGAGGCGAAACCCGACTCACACGTTTTCATCGTGCCTCCTGGCTAGTGGGACTCAGTCTCATGAACTAACGTGAGCGGTAACCCGTGTGGCAGAGATTGGGCCTAATCACCCGCTCGACCGATACCCACAAAGAATCACAGCACAATTACTCCTGAATCGAAAAACGACAAAAAATCTACAAAAGTGGTGCATTTATTGTATGGGGTTGCTCCCTACAGGGCGAACTCCAACCGATTGCAAAAACGGCTATTCTAGCTCCAGTAGTTTTGCCGTGCTTTGATTTGGTCTGTTTCTATCCAGAAGGGTCTACTTGTCTTCCCCAACTTGTTTAACTGAAAGGGGCAACTGGCCTATTCATATTCGTGTTCCTCGTACCATAAGCATTATTTTGATTTATAGACTATTATTATACAATTTACCGTTCTTGAGTTATGCCCAGTCTATTAGTTATAGTCTCCCATATTCACAGACACTTTTGGTCAGATCTTGTACAAATTTTGTTTTCTATTTTATGGTATGATGTGGTCTGTTTAACTAGTATATAAACCCAGTATGTTTGAAATATATGATTCATATCACAGATCCTGAGATCAGTATTCTGTATTCCGACAGGCTAAGTCAGGCAGGAAACGGAACCGGTAAAGACTCTAGACTGCTCTTATATGTTTTATGCGTCATTGATCCAGTCGATAATTCACTGTATCACTAATTGGTGATATCATTACGTTTATATTATTGATAAGGGTATAAACTCACAAGTTATAACGTCTTCGAAATAAATTGCAAAGAAACAAAAAAACACACAACAAAATTGAATATGAATTCATTGAGTCACTTTTAAGCATATAAGAATAACAACTTACACACACACACACACACACACACACAAAGTATCACATTAACATTCTTACACATGAACATACTGCAAAAACAGGCACTGAAATAACAAAAAAAACCAAAACAAGTCACTATTACATAATATCTATAAGCGTTTTTATCTTCAAATGATCCTAATAAGCATATAAAAAAGATCTGATCATTGTTTTTGTTTGTTGTCTTTTTTTTGGCTGGAACCTAATAAATGGATCATTTCAATCAATCAGTCAATCAATCAATCAATCAATCAATCAATCAATCAATCAATCAATCAATCAATCAATCAATCAATCAACCAATCAGTCAATCAATCAATCAACCAATCAAATGAACCATAATCAATGATAAGCAAAACAAACAAAACAGAATTTTAAATTGAATAATCTTGTGAAGTAAACAACAAGCGAAAAAAAAGAAAAAAAAGAAGAACCAATCACAACAACAACAACAACAGCAGAAAGTCTTCATAAGTCATCATCATCATCATTCACTTAATCAACGACACGAAATCAATGAAGAAGAAATTGCAAAAACAAGACAAAAACATGAATCCAAGTTCATTACTTATTCGAAAATAATACCATACTGTTTTGTTTTTTTTTACAATATTAAAATGGCGCTCGAAAAAAAATTACAAAAAAAACAGAAGTCGATTTCAAGAATTATGTAATAGTTATTTGTTGTTGTTGTTGTTGTTGGGGGTGGAGGTAGTTTTGTTGTTGTTGGTGGTGGTGGTGTTGTTGTTGTTGTTGTTCTAATTTTTCAGGAAATCCACCCCATTTTACACCAATATATGGTATTTCAGATGACATAATACGTGGTGGTGCTTCAATTAAATATGTATAAACTAATGGTAATGATTGTGGTAATTCATTATTATTAATTGGTATTGCATATATATATAATTTATAAAAATGATCACCTTTTGGTATACGAATAAAATAGGTTAAATGTTCAGTTATATTTGGTTCTTCAGTTTCATCCCATTGTTGTAATAGATAATTTGTACAATCCTAAATAATAATAAAAATGTTAATAATAATTGATTGATTCATTTGCAGATTATTATCAGAAGGGATTTGTGGAGATTTCAGAAATTTCAAAGATTGAAATCATGAGTCAATTGAAACTAGACCACCATGAAAAAAACCTGGAAGCACTGGACGGTCTGTTTCGTCTCACCGTGGGATTCCCCAGCAGTGCGTGTCCACGATCCCGCACCACGCGAGATTCGAATCTGAGACCTATCAATCTCGCGCCAGGCGCTTAACCAACTAATAATTGAATTCATGGGTCGATTGAAGCTAGACCACCATGGAAAATGGCTCAGTGGTCTAGAGGTTAAGCGCTCGCGTGCGAGACTGATAGGTCCTGGGTTGAGTAAGAGTTCGATACTAGGACGAAACAGCCGTCCAGTGCTTCCAGGTTTTCCATGGTGGTCTAGCTTAAATTGACTCATGGTTTCAATCATTGTAGAATAGTTATGACACTTAACTGTGTCACAAGATCAACCCTCATTTGGGATCCTCAAGGTCAAATGAGGAGAAGAGAAAGACTAAAGAATATATAATATTCGAGAAATGGAAACAGACATGAGAAGAATGAACAACAATCGAATAGAACTAGAAAGGAAGGTGGAGGATAGAGTTGGTTAGAGAATATTGGTCGGCGGACTAAGCTCCATTAGGAGTAACAGGTATTGGTAAATAAGATTAGTTAATAATTCAGTCTATTTTAAAGCTTCTTATCAGACTACAAAGGGCTTAAGATCACAATCATCAGTATAATTAACACCGTTGGATGTAGTTTACAGATTAAGCGCTCGAGCATGAGACCGATAAGTCCTGAGTTCTAATCCCGCTGGTGGAATTGTGGATGCTCACTGTTAATGAGTCTTACAATAGGGTGAAACATCTGTCTAGTGATTTTAAGTTTTCAATGATGGTCTAACATTAATCGGATCATGATCTCAATCTTAAAATGAAGAGTTGATGTAAATTATTAAGTGAATTCAATACGAATGTTTGAAAGATATCTGTGAAGATGGTCCACAGATGAACTCAAGGAAGCTTTAATAAGCTCAGGAAGAGCTAAAAACTTTACATTCAATCATCTGTTTTCTTGGAAGAATATTCCAAAATCTCGACGTATAGCTTCTTTATGAGACAAATGCTAATAACTCTCTGTATGCAGATTAGACAACTATAATGATAATTTCATATTTACTAAAAACTAAAAATATCTGACAGTTCTATACCATAGATGACACTGTTTGGAATAGTATTCCTTCTCACTTATCTTCTATCTTCTCATTTGCACCCTAGAAGGTTCTGATATTCCAATGCTCAAGTTGTACGTGGTATATGAAAAATCTAAGCCCTAGATATAATAATATCATATTAAATACACGGAGGATCTGATGCAGCTGTGAAGGTGCGGATCGGAAAAGCAAGAGCAGCATATTTATAACTGAAGAACATCTGGAACTCAAAACAACTGTCAACCAACACCAAGGTCAGGATTTTCAATACAAATGTCAAGACAATTCTACTGTATGGGGCAGAAACCTGGTGAACTACGAAAGCCATCATCCAGAAAATACAGGTGTTTATTAACAGCTGCCTACGCAAAATACTTCGGATCCGTTGGCCTGACACTATTAGCAACAATGTACTGTGGGAGAGAACAAACCAGATCCCAGTGGACGAAGAAATTAGGAAGAAGCGCTGGAAGTGGATAGGACACACATTGAAGAAAGCACCCAACTGCGTCACAAGACAAGGCCTCACTTGGAATTCTCAAGGCCGAAGGAAAAGACGAAGACCAAGGAACACATTATGCCGGGAAATGGGGATAGACATGAGAAAAATGAACAAGAATTGGATGGAACTAGAAAGAAAGGCCCAGGACAGAGTGGGTTGGAGAATGCTGGTCGGCGGCCTATGCTCCTTTGGGAGTAACAGGCGTAAGTAAGTAAGTAAGTAAGTAAAACGTATAAAGTTCAAACTGGTGTTCATGGATGTGTTGAAATAAACGGGCGATGGGTACAATAAGAGTGGACACTGACTAAGTATACAACTTTGAAGAGGTAATTACAATCAATTATCTCAGTTCTAACTTGTATGTATACTAACTTACTATCTAGACTGTAGCCAACATCATTATGAACCAATCGATCATTGTATTTTATCACAAACGTTAGTAGCGAGACTATAATTTGTGAACGAACCAATCAGATTTTAGATGACGAGTCTTGGATTTGAACGCGAAATTCACTCATTCATTCATCTATCCAAATAGCATCTTGGCAGTTTAGCTGATGTTAATTCATGATGAAAACCATAAATCTAATTTTTAACCTTAACCATCAATTGTAAATCATCGTCTTTATTCTTCAAACTCTTTTATAACCTTTATTTAGATTTATCAAATAGGTAGACACTGTCAAAGTCGATTTGGCATCGCTTCAAAGTTATCCATACATTGTAGTATCACTATGTTAGTAACTATATCGCTTTATATGGATAGTAAGTTTCATGCCTCATGTTCTTTCCAACACATAATTATAAATCCATTTTTGAAGAGTTCTACAATAGGACAAAACAGTCATCCAGCGCTTCCAGGCTTTCAATAGCGATCTAATGTCGATGGATTCCTGAACTCAGTAAAACAAAATTGAAATTGATTTAATATAGTATCTTACATCTCCTTATATTCATTATGATTTTCTGATCCCATTCGTACACCTATATTGAATTCATTTAATAAATTAGAACAGTTCTATGTTTCTAATTATATTAATCATTGTAATCTTAAGCTGTTTCCAGCTAATGAGAAGACTTGAAACAGAGTGAATTTATTTTATAGTTGAATTTATGAGTTGATTAAAGCTAGACAACCATGAAAAACCTGGATTCATTGGACGGCCGTTTCGTCCTAGTATGGGACTCTTCAATTGTCCTAGTGATCAGTAAGTGTAGTTTACTGTATTTATTTCTACTAGGCTTATGTTCACCTGTTATTATGAGGTTAACTGAACTAAAAGTGAATATATGATTTATCCATCTAAGACTAACAGCCTACTCTATGAACCTCAAATCTTATTAGTTCGTCCTGAAGATTGTCCTATTACCGTCTGTGTAATTCTCCCTTCTACAACTGGGTTGTTGGTTCGAGAACCTAATTTCTGCTTAAACAAAATAGGCACATGAACCGATAAAAATGACAACACTTACCTCTTCCTCTGGTGTACTTATATCTACAAACTGTCCAACGACATAAAGTTTTTGTTGAGATTCTTTGGAAATTCTTATTTTCAAATCACAACTACGTGGATCTTGTACTTCATCATCTATTTCATTTGTTTGATCTGGTGATGTTGTAGGAACTATTAATGAATCATTTGTAGATACACCATTCATAATTTTATCTCCTTGACTCATATACTGACTCATAATTTCTGATTTACTTCGAGTTTTTCGTAATTCAATAGAACCAGCTGTTGGAACATGAATTAAAGGATCATCATGACTAAGTAATTTTAAGCCTAATGTAGACCATGTTTCATCTTGAGGACCTAGATTCATTGTAGCTAAACGTTTTCTAACTGGAGTAGATAATCGAACTCCATATTCAGAATTGATTAAAAACTGCCAAACCTGTAAGATTATTTAAAGAAAAAAATAGAAACTATATGAAATAGTAAACGATAAGCGGAGTTATAGTGACATTTCAAATCATGGGGAGCAATTGTAAACAAGATTGATATATTCGTGAGACTATGATTTATGAACGACCTTTGAGCGACGCTGAAGTGACCTTGTGAGTGAGGGTTATAAAGCAGTTAGAATTCCCATTTACAGTTGATCATTAAGGTTAAAAAATTAGATTTAGGGTTTTCATCACGAACTGACATCAGTTATAATGTCAACACTTTATTTAGCCAAATGTATGGATGAATTCCGCGCCCAAATTTGTGACTCGTTATCTTTCATCTGATTGGTTCGTTCATAGATTATAGTCTTGCCGATATATTAACGAACTTTTGTTGTATATTTTATACTACTTATAAGTAGTTCAAAACTATAATCGACTGAAACGCAATCGTGGAATGTGGAATTCAACAACACTAAAATACTAGTCTTTTAAGTACCATAACGTATTGGTTACATAACAATTACATAAACATTAGGTCGATTACTGTAAGCTAACAAATATTCTGAAAATAACAGAGAACAAATGATAAGTTATTAGTTGTATCACTTAAGAATACATACTTACATCTTACAAAAACCATCAATTCTTTCAATAACGAAGAAAATCGGTAGCTTAGAGATGAATAAATACTGCCCATTTGAACTATTCAACTAAAAAAATGCCATATGTATTTTTGGAGTTTGACAACACCTCAACTATTAACATCTTCTATAATGGAACTGTGTCAACCCAGTGAAATTAGAAGTTAGAAGCGAAGGAATTCAAAGATATATTAAGATAGACTATTGGTATATTGAGAAGTGAATGGTCTAAGCTAGCTAGCGGTTGTAGGAGTAATTAAGCACAGTGTACTCACTCGTGATCTAATGCGCATGTGTGACCAAGTGCCTTCAGCTAGGTGAGTCCATTAAAACAAATGTGATCAGTATCAAATGTTGAAGATTTACAGAGCTATTGATTTTGGGGATTTGTTTACCGTTACAAATGAAACCAACATACAAATCTGTTAACAGATTTGTTATAAATACAATGTATAAACTTTCAATATTCTTAATCAAAGATGGATAGTGGCTAGCAGTGGAATTCAGGACCCGCGTTTCGTCCTATTTGACATACAGCTCTCTGTCCCAAAGTGAACTGTCACATCCACTATTCGTTGCTTTAGTTACTGCTAGCCACTATCCATCTTTGCTTAAAGAGTTTATGACTTAAGGCTGTATCGAGGCAGTCCCCACAGGATGCACATACACCAACACGGGACTGATCAGTTGCAGTCCTAAATAACAGTGGGAAGATATAAGTAAAACAAACCCGACCGTTGTTGCTGCCTTGATGTGGTGGTCGCACTTGCCTATCGTGATGAAGCAACAGAGCTATACTGGCTGGAACAACCGTTCCTCAAGGTTCTACCATCCCAGACAGGTCGGTTCAAGAGCGATAAAACTAAAATCCACAAACCCAAGGTCCGAAGGCGAAGTCGTACTGTTGGCTTTACAAAAATGTGAAGGCAATAAGGTGTTTCCTTCAGACAACCAGTATGACAGCGATGCTGCCTTCCCACAAGGAGGGATGAGTTCAGAAAAGGTCGACTTTGAAAATGCACACCTCGCCTTATCTCGCAGATATCCGTACGGAGCTTGTTATATCCGAGCGAAGATTAAAACATGCGTAACTTCTGAGACATTAATTGACTAATATTATCTATACATTCTCATTCAATAATTAGATTATGTATATTTATATTCCTCTTATTATCAGCTTTATTTTGATCTATAATTTATTATTATACGATTTACTGTCCTTAAGCTATGTTCAGTTTATTGACTACTGTCTATCACGTTTACAGTCATTTTTTGGCTGTATTGTGTACAAATGTTATTTCCTATTTCATGGTGCGTTGCGGTCTGTTTGTTTGATATATAAACCCAGTATGTCTAGAATAAATGATTCGATTCGATTCGCATAGTGAAAGCTGGTATTGGTGTTCTGGACTCAAGTGGACGGACTAGGCGGACATAGAACCAATAAGGACGCCAGGCTGCTCATACCGGTCGAACGTCATTGGTTTGGCACAGTGCTAAGACTGTATAAGTCGTATTTTGATTGGTGGATAAATCATGTGATAACTAGCCGGACATAAAGTCATAACAGAGCTAACACGAAAATTACTCATGAAAAGGTCGTGTGTGACCGACCTCAAGCAGTTGTCCCTTGTGAACTGCGGTCACGCTCTCAGGTCACTAAGACCACCTCTAATCCAATTTCCTTTTCAGGTGCCTCCAGAAGAACCCTTCCAGAGTGTGTACAACCGGGAAGTGATAACTGCCCTCATAGCTCTAACAACACTCAAGACCACTGAGTAAAACAAAAAGTAATTGGATATTTCTTTCCTACTAATTTGAAACCTTTCATTAATGACAAATCAAGACTACTATACAGTTAAATAAATCACAAATGAATACTCAAATAATCTTACCAAGAAATATGAAGTATTTTCATCTGAATCAGCTGGTGCACCATAAACTTCTAATGCATATTCACCACCTGTTGGTAAATATGCTGTCAATATTATCATATTAATACGTGATCCTTGTATAGTTTGTGTACCAGATAAACGATTTGTTGCAGAAATTAAACTACCCGATGAAGTTGCTTCAATATTACGCAATAGTATACAATCAGTAAGCATTGATGTTTCATGAATTGATGATTTTAAACGTGCAGTTAAACGTGGAAGCTTGCGTTGCTGAAAGCAATGAACAGGGGAAAGAAAGATGAAAGTATAACATAATAAAACGTCAAACTCTCCAGATTTTTATCAGAAGGGGTTATGTGGATATTATAGTAATTTAAATAGTTAGAATCATGAGTCAATTGAAGCTAGATCACCTGGAACCACTGAAGGCCCTTTAGTCCTACTATAAGACTCCTCAGCAGTGCGCATCCACGATCGCGCGCGAGACTGATAGGTCCTGGACTCCAGCCTTACGTGGTGGGGTTGTGGATGCGCACTATTGAGGAGTCCTAAAGTAGGATTAAACAGTCGTCTAGTGCTTCCAGGTTTTCCATAGTGGTCTAGCTTCAATTGACTCATGATTTCAACTATTGAAATCTTTATGTTTTTATCAACACTCTTATATAAGTTGCTTTGTTTAACACAGAACAAAATGGTAGTAGAAAATATTGTTCCCTTATCAAATCCCCACTAAACCATGATAAGAAAATATGACAGACTATCTACATTCATAGTTGTGTTAACTGAGTACAAAAATAGATAGTTATTTATATTGATTAAAAATGACTTATTACCAATCATTATGGAATGGTAGATGGATACCACTATAGAGCTTCACACTAGGGAAATATGACTGTCTAGTGTTCCTTGATGTACAACCGGTGTATAATTAAAATCATTCTATGAAAAAAGGTATAATTAATTAACATCAGAGAGGGGTTTTTGTAGATATTGTAGTAATCTAGTAGTTGAATTCATGAGTCAATTAAAGCTAGATCACCATGGAAAACCTAGAAGTACTGGAATGTCATTTCGTCCTAATATAGGACTCCTCAACAGTGCGCATTTACAATCCCACTCACAGGAATCGAACCTAGAATCTATCAGTCTCATACGCGAACGTTTAACTTTCAGATCACTGAGCCGTCTAACCTCAAACAATCCATGAAATTACGCCATCCTATAGAAGTTAGGCGTTCGTGAGTGAGACAGATAGGTAATGAATTTAAATCTTACGAGGCGGGATCGTGGATACGCACTGCTCCATAGGACGGAACGGTTATCCAATGCTCTTCAGTCCTCCATGTTGGTCTAACTTCAATCGACTCATGAATTCAACTATTAAATTGATTAAAAACAGAATAAAAAAAACTACTAACAACAACAATGACTAACATTACTTACTGGATCTTTAGTTGTGAATTTAATTTCTAATATTCCAGTATGACAATTTAAGTGAGTTTCTAAATCTTCTGGTATAGTAATAATATCTAATTCTTTAGCTTTTTCAGCTGGACCATAATGTCCTTGTGATGTTGGAGGAAATGGTAGAATTGTAAGAGCTGGTTTTGAAGTATCATTATTATTATTATTACTGATAGTAGTAGTAGTACTAGTATCCATAGCAACCGGTTCTGTTTGTTGTAAATCGGTACTCATTTTTGATTCTACACGATATTCACATATATCTGCAAATAACTAATGTTTATAAAAATAAATCAATAAATCAATCAATCGATCAAGGGATATAAATATTAATTAACGAACTATTTAAGTAATAATCATGTACTTACTAGTGACTAGCCTTCAAATGCCCTGTTACGATCGATGGTGGGGAAAATCCGCACACACACACACACACACTCTCGAAATACTCTCACATGACCATGCGTTAACAGCCACTGACAGGGAAATCCTACTTGCTGCCTTCTCACATCGGCGGTGTTGTCTACGGTTTAATCGGGTTGGTGGACATGGAAGATCCATCTAAGGGAGTTTAAAAACCCTTATTCCAAACTAATGGTGCACATGGGCTTCAGGATCCTGAGGAAACAAAAGGTGTATGATTCTATTGTGAGTCACCAGCTACCATGAGACTGAATCTTTTGACGTTGCTCCACTGCCTTGTAGATCAGACCATTAGATCGAAGGCTCCGAGTGTGGCCCTCTAAGAAAACCACTTGATTCTGTAGTTATTGATTACAATAACTTGTATATGATCGAGAATGATTATTCTTAGACAATCTCAAAATAAATCAAACTAACGATTTGATTTTAGCCCTTAACGATAATTAATTTCAACAAATGAAAAGATCTTCATTCATAAGATTCAGTAGCTATCACATGTAGAATTTCTGATTGGCTGATTACTATACTGCTACTATGCTTAGTAGCATTCCAGAATTTTCGGGAAACCCAGGAACATCTGAAATACTATAAAAAAACCCTATACTTTCTGTACTAAAACTAACCTTTGGAGTAAAGTGCTTCTTGCATATTTTACACCTTTTCTCTCGTGTTCAGGTCACTGTGTAGTTCTAGCTTGGGGGTTATAAGAATAGCTTAGGAACCGAATATAGCGTTCAGTTAACAAGACTTATCACAATACGAACGTCAAGACAGTTCTATTGTACGGAGTTGAAACTTAGAGAACTACTATAACTACTGTCAAGAAAATACAAGTATTTATGAACAATTATCTACGCAAGATGTTCAATATCCGTTTACTGGATACCATCAGCAACAACCTACTGTGGGATAGAGAACAAACAAGCTTAGAGCTGAAGAGGAAATTAACAAAAGATGTTGGAGGTGGATAGGACAAACATTATAGAAATCAACAAATTGCATCACGAAGCAAGCGCTAACTTTGAATCTTGAATGGAAACAGAGAAGAAAAGGCCAAATAACACACTACGTCGTTAATTGGAATCAGACATGAAAAGAATACATAACAACTGGAAAGAACTGGGAAGGAATACCCAGGACAATGTTGGATGAAGAATGCTGATGGATGGTCTATGCTCCTTCATCAATGGTAACAGTCGTAAGTAAGTAAAGTATGTTTGATTTTTGATAGATAATACATAGATATAGTTTTCTATTCACAATTTTTTTTCAAGCTTACCTTTTCACCAATACGTTGTGCATATAAAGTAAGCTTATAACCTCCAGGTTTTGGGAAACGAAAATGAAATGTAACCGTTGCATCACGTCTTGATAATTCATGTATTCCAAATTGACTTAGATTTGGCAACTTTATTGAAATTATAAAAAGAAAAACAAGGTAAAATACTTCATAACATGGAGAAGAGATCGATACGAACTTAAGTAACTGTTATAACTTGTGGTTTTGTACCCATGGTTCTTTGTTTTTCACTACGTCACCAATCGTTATAACATGTGACCAATGTACCCTGTTAATGTATAACGTATTAGAAACGTGGAAGCATCTCTATACTGGTCATTACCATGTTCTCACTAGTAACTAACTCTGAAAAGATATTTACTGAGCTTCAATGAAAAGTAATGATCAATAGATTTCAGCCGTGTTTTGTACGAGGCACTCACTGAAGACAATGGGAGATGGTTACGTAATGTTGCGAATTGACTGAGGTTGAACATGTACATCACCGGATAGAGGCTTATTAATCTAAACGTTAAGATATCGTAGCAATATTTAAAGGCCTTAGGCATGATCCCTGGTGAAGTCCTGGAAGCGCATTACCCAGGAGATGAAACAGCTATCAAGTACTCCCAGATTTGCAGTGGTTGTCTTACTTTGATTTATGTTCAACAATCTCCACAGACCTTCATATAGATATTTAAATGCCGATAAGATTATTATCTCAAGTCTGCTTGAATCAACTTGGATGATGTTGAAGTAGATCGATATGCAACCAAGGTAAATGTTTCTTTTTCAATTTAAGCCATATGTATACACTCTCTATCTTCGCTAAAACTATGAGATTAAGATCGCTTCCTATCTTTCTTTCTACGAACTACTTCTTTCTTCCTGTACTATATTCTTATATGCAATCTTTCTTTTATATATATTATCACCACATAATGAACTACTTCTATGAATCCGGTGTTCATCTTGTTGTGCTAATGGAGTATGACAAGTTGGACCGATGTATAGATGTGCCTGGTCCGACTGATTGATTGACTAACATGCATAAAGTATCATCTATAGAAATGGCAAGAAAGAAGCAACATTTTATACAAGGAAATAATATAAATAAATATATGTAAATGAATAAGCACATATTCTTACATCTAGATTATCATCCTTCCCTTCATATTTTAAATTGAATGTAAATTTCAATGTATCCGTTAAAGTTTTTGGCATGGATAATTTTATAACAAGTTTATTTGGTGCAAGTATAACACAATCTTGATGTGATAGTAATCCAAGACCATGACGGAAGAAAGCTGGTTTCAATAGAACACTGTTTTCAAATTCCTAGATTTAAAAAAAACACACACACAAAACATTTGATGTCTTTGGATATAAACTACTATTACAGTATTTCAGTAGTTTAAAAAAAACAATATTACAAATTGGTGAGTATGGAATTATGTAATATGAAGAAAGATTCACCCGATTGCACAAGCAAGTGGCTATCAGAACTCAGTAGCTAAGCGGTAGCGTTTAAAGCGACTGGTACTGTGTTCGAACCCCAGAATGAACATCAACCCTGATATTCAGGTACGTCCAGTTAACGAGTACAATAATAGGATGAAACGCATTTTGTCCTGGATTCCACAGCTGAACACTATCCATCTTCGCTTATAAGGCTTATGATTTAAGACGATATCAAGGCAATCCGTACAGGATGCACACATGCCAATAAGAGACTAATTAATTGTAGATACAAGCAAACAACACAAAGTGAATTGCAACAAAGTTTGTTCACACTTACATTTCTTTCAACTATCTTCATTATTATAATACACAAAGAAACATGCCCATAGATGCATATAAGATATTTGAAAGTAATGACGGAGAGTTTCACACTTTCATCTTTTCTTTTTTTTCACAGTTACGTCATAAACGGATGGAAGATTAACAAAAAAGATATGCGACATATGATGCAAATGAACGAACGATTCTTTCATTTAGAATATTCCTTTATTTGTGTACTTTGGTCTACGAAAAATTATTTTATCGAATATATTAATAGTTAAATATATGAATCGATGTGACTTAGATCACCATTGAAAACCTGGAAGCATTGAATGGTTGTTTCGTCTTAGTTTGGGACACCTCAACAGTGCACATCTACGATCCCGCTTGTGGGATTCGTACTCAAGATCTTAGGTCTCACGAGCGAACGCCTAACCTTTAGACAGTCGTCCAAGTTTTCTTTGATGGTTTAGCTTTAATCGACTCATGAATTCAACTAGTAAAAATTACTACAACCTCTACAAAACCCCTTTTCTGTTGATAAAACAAACTTGTTTTCGTACAACCAATAGGTCAATAAAACTCATAATAATCAATAGTTGGATTCTGTTATTTATCACATGGTGAGATTATAGTGAGTGATGCAAGACTGACCTTAAGAGTGTCCACTTAATATCTAGGATCAAATGAAGACTATAAACCAGTGTTTACAACGGATGATTCGGCTTAAGAGTTGAAGTTAAGGTTTTCATCACGAACCGACACATTTACTATAATGTCAAAACTATTTATTCAAATGGATGAATGAATTTCGCGCCAAAATTCAAGTCCTATTATCTTATACCTGACTGGTTCATCTTTAAATCATAGTCTAGCCTAACACATTATATAGTAAATGAAATCCAAGATGTATATTTTTGGAACTTGTCAATTGAATACATCTTGTCAATCTTGAATGCTACTAGAGGTATGAGGGCGATTAACTGTCAAACTGAATACATCTAAATTCCAGTGTTTTTTATATTCACTGTATTCTCAAACATCTTAGTTCAGCTATGTGTATGTTGAACAGATTTTGTTCAAACATGATAGTTTAATTGAAATCAGTTTGTTTTTGGATATAGGAAACTGTAATCAATTTCAAGTACATTTTGACTCAAAAGAAAAAAAGAAAAAGAAAAGAAAAACACTAAAAAAGAAAGAAAAAAGAGAAGTGCATAGAAAAGAAAAAAAGAAAGGCAAAAGGGTAGAAAAGAAAGGAAAAAGAACAGAAAAGAGAAAAGAAAAAGAGTGGAAAGGAAAGGAAAAAGAATAGAAAAAAGTGGAAAAGAAAAAAGAAAGAAAAGAAAAAGGAATAGAATAGAAAGAGCAGAAAACAAAGGAAAAAGAATCGAAAAGAAAAGAAAAGAGAGAAGAGTAAAAAGAAAAGAAGAAAGAAAAGAGCAGAAAAGAGAAGAGGGGAGAAAAGTGAAAAGGAAAAGAGAAGAGAAAAGAAAAGAGAAAGGGTCGGAAAGAAAAGAGAAAACAGAAAAGAAAAGAAAGGAAAAAAGAATAAAAAGGAAAGAAAAGGAAAGAAAAAGAGTAGAAAAGAGAAAATAATAGAAAAGAAAAAAGGATAGAAAAGAAAAGAGAAAACCGAAAACAAAAGAAACGCAAAACGAGAAAAAGACACATACTTACCTTTAATGTAACTGGTGGTTTTAACATTTGCCAATTTTCATCAAATGGATAATGTGAATAAATAAATTTAGCTGGATCAACATTAAAATAAAACATATCCGTTTCATAATCCATTTGACCAGTTTGTACTAATTGGGATAAACGTGTATTAGCACTAACAGCTAAACGTTGCGCTGCCCACATTGGATCAAATAATGCCCATTTATTATCTAAATAAGCAGCATTCCATGCATGTTGTAATCGATGCATAATTGATGATGATGATGCCGATGATGATGATGATGATTGTTGTTGTTGTTGTAATTGATCATTTATATCATTTAAACGCATACCAACTACATAATCAACACCTTTAGCTAAACCTTTCACTGTTACACATGGTATATTTGAATAATGACATAATGATTCAAAAGCCTTTCAAAAGAAGAAGAACGAGAAGAAGCAAATATTTGATTATTTAATTAAATAAATTGTATTCATTAAAACAAATTCTGTATACATAGTGATATTGCAATGTGTGCTACTGCCTCCAAATACCCTGGTACGGCTGAGAGTGGGGAGAGTCCTTTCACCCTCTCCAAATGCTCTCTACATGGTCACGCGTATATAGCCTCTGCAAGGGAAGTCCTACTCACTGCCTTCTCGTGGCATTAATGTTGTTTACGAAATCAACAGGACGAAAAGCGAATGTCCGGCGCTTTAGCCGGGTTGGTGGACATGGAGAGTTCGCCTAGGGGAGTTGGAAAACCCTGACTCCAAACCAACGGTAAACATGGGCTTCAGTATCCTGCGGAAACAAATGGGGTATGAACCAATTATTGGTCACTGGTTACCATAGGAATACATCACCTTACGATGCTCCATTGCCTTGTGGATCAGACCTTCAGATCGAAGGCTCGGGGAGTGGCCCCCTGAGAAAACCACCTACTTCGGTTTGGGCACCCGAGCAGTATCACATCCCTCACACATATCAAATGAGATTTGTGTGGCGCATATGTATTTGGTGCCCCCTTGTACCAATATCTATGTGTTAAAATAATATAATAATAAATAAAGAATAATTATTTGGCGTATGAAATTGAGGCTTTTCATATAGTCTTAGTTTCCTGTCTGCGAAAAGTTGAACGGTTCAGGTCATAGGAACACGATAATGATTAAGTTAAAAAGCAAAACACAATATATGTTAATCCATTGAGATTATGTTGTAGTGAAGTAGAACACAGGTAAGGACAATCGAATGTATTTGAATATAAAGTTACAAAGCATCATAGTAAAATATGAGAATGATACAGCAAGTACTTCGTTTGCAAAAAATATCAATCAATGGTCTCAGACTTCATTGTTCTTCCAGTTCCACACTACTCACCCCTTTTTTGTTATCATTCTCGTCTCTTTGATCTTATTAACCTTCTACCTTCAAGCATTTCACTTACTATTGATGATATATACTATTTATTATTTATTTATTTTAACACATAGATATTGGTACAAGGGGGCACCAAATACATGTGCGCCACACAAATCTCATTTGATATGTGTGAGGGATGTGATACTGCTCGGGTGCCCAAACCGAAACAGGTGGTGTTCTTAGGAGGCCACACTCGGAGCCTTCGATTTGAAGGTCTGATCCACAAGGCAATGGAGCATCGTAAGGTGATGTATTCCAATGGTAACCGGTGACCAACGATTGGTTCATACGCCATTTGTTTCCGCAGGATACTGGAACCCATGTACACCAGTGGTTTGAAATGAGGGTTTTCCAACTCCCCTAGATGGACTTTCTATATCCACCATCCCGGTTAAAGCACCGAACATTCGCTTCTCGTCCCCTAGATTTCGTAAACAACATTAATGCCACGAGAAGGCAGTGAGTAGGACTTCCCTGACATGTGAGAGCATTTCGAGAGGGGGAGCGGACTCTCCTCACTCTTGGCCGTACCAAGGGGCATTTGAGGGCAATGTAAATTTAGAAAAGATAAATAAAATAACTTACTTGAAGATATGTTGCTTTACCATATGACATTTCATTCAATATAAATTCTGGTGAATCTAATTTTAATTTCTTCGATTTATTCTTTAATGCTTCTTTAGCATATTGTATATCATCTTGTTCAGCTTGTTGTAATTCATCATAAGTTAAAAATGGTATAGAACCAACTGGTATTGAACATAACCATGAAAATAATGCTTTAACTTTTAATTCATCATTGATTAGATTACGTTTACCAATTAATGACCAATATAAATCTTTCCATGTTGCTGGTTTACTATGACTTCTAGCTAATTCACGTGCTATTATATCAACCGGTTGAGCAATATGATTATCATCTAATGTTGATTTATTAATAATCAGTTGTTTAGTAAATGTAGATGAATCTAATGTTGGTTTAATTGAATTTGATGAAATATTCATTGTAGATGACATAGATAATGGTTTAGGTAATTCATAATTAGATGGTGCTGGTTCTAAGATAGATATATGAGATCGTAGTTTAATTGTTTCATTATCATTGGGTACAATATGATTATTGATTGATTCGTCAGTTGTTATAGGGGGTTCAGATTTATCTAAGTATAAAAGAAGAAAAAAAAATGTAAAAGATGAAGTTCCGAAAATGTTCTTGGACATTATTGTAAGAATAGGAAGTAACAAATCACAATTGATTGATCATTGGGTGGTGATCAATCTCATGCTTATCTAGTCCTTATTAGTGCAGATCGAATGCTATCGATCATGTTGCAATGTGGCCACCAGTCTAGGTAACTCGACACTGCGGGCACTATGTATTGAGATTAGATGGTGGTTGGAGTGTCGAGTCACCTAGACTGGTGGCCACATTGCAACATGATCGATAGCATTCGATCTGCACTAATAAGGACTAGACAAGCATGAGATTGATCACCACCCAATGATCAATCAATTGTGATTACATCTCAGTTCTACAGGAGGTTAGTCACGGCTCGGATAGCTCAGTGGTAACGTCTCTGACTGTGAAGCTGGGTGACACGAGATTGAATCCGCCAGGGAGCACTAGTTCCCTCACGATTACAGGTACACCTTGCTGACGAGTGCCAAGTAGCACGAAACCCGGGTCCAGGGTTTCCTGTTGACTACCTCCAACCACCATCTAATCTCAATATGAAGTAACAAAGAAAGGTTAAATAGATGGATTTGAAGAAGATTCATGGAAGTATGTAGATCTATAGTTCTTTGTATTGTTTGATCTAAACAAGTAAGAGTATGATTCAATCTTGTAGATTAGCTTAATGAATGAACACAATATTGACACTAACCTCATATGAAATTAAACTACTAACTGTTCTTCAGTAGAAGGTAATTGACAACCGGGGACCTATTTATTTACTTACTTACTTATGCCTCTTACTCCTCGGGAAGGAACATAGGCCGCCTTGTCATAGGCGATCCTTTGCGGTTCTTTCCTGTTGTGATTCATTCTATTCATATCTGCTTCTATTTCCCAACGTAATGTGTACTTTGGCTTTCTTCTTTTCTGTTTCCCTCCAGGATTCTAAGTTAGGGCTTGCTTCGTGATGCACTTTGGTGATTTTCGTAATGTATGTTCTATCCACTTTCAATGTCGTTTCCTAATTTCCTCTTCAGTTCGAAGCTGGTTTGTCATCTCCCACAGTAGGTTGTTGCTGATTTTATCCAACCAATGGATGTTGGGTGTCTTGCGTAGACAACTATGCATTTCGTGGATTAGTTGAAGTTAGACATTAACACCATTGGGTGCCGCCTTAGTGGTCTAGTTGGTTAAGCATCTGACGCGAGACTGATTGGTCCGGGGTTCGAGTCTCGCAGGGTGCGGGGCCGTGGGTGCACGTCGCTGAGGTACCCCGTTCTGGGACGAAACGGCCGTCCAGTGCTCCCAGGTTTTCCATGATGGTCTAGCTTCAACTGACTCATGATTTCAATCTGTGAAATTTCTAAAATCTCCACAAACCCCTTCTGATAGATTGTTTGATGATGATTGTAGTAGTTCTCCAAGTTTCAGCTTTGTACAGTATATCTGTCTTGATGTTCGTATTGAATATTGTGACTTTGATATTCGTCTAAAGTTGTTTTGAGTTCTATATGTTGTTCACGTATAGGAATGCTGTCTTTGCTTTCCCAATCCTCTCCTTTATGTCTGCGAATACCCCGGAGCGCTAGGTAAATTATTCTTGCTAGTACGGAATTCCACAGTAGTGCATATATAAGTTCGCACTACAGAACTGATTCAACACCTTTGGCTCTCATGTTAAATACTTAAACTTTTGACCAATGATTAAGCATTTGTGATATTTATCTATAGGGTATCGTGATCTTCACTGGTTGTATAAACAGAATCAATCCATGAATTTGACCACTAAACTCAACAATCTCTACAAGATGTTCATATTGAGATCTGTTTTTTTCCAAATTATTTACTTAGTTAAGCTATAGAGAATAAAGACAAGAACTACAGTCAAATTGATAATCATCATTAAAAGGTGATGGAGATTGTTCAGTTTTTGATTGAGATCATGAATCGATTGAGGTTATACCACCATTGTGAACCTGGAAGCACTGGACGACCATTTCGTCCATATATGGGGATCCTCAGCGGGGCACACGAGATGCAAAACCAAAATCTTCTGTTTCGTGCGTAAACGCTTATTCTATAAATTATTGAGCCGGCATCCAACAGTGTTAATGTCTAGCTTCAGTATTGTCAGTGTGTGCACTCTGGTTGTTGAGTACACAAAATGACACTTGTAGATAACGACACGATGCAAATAATCAAACCTATAAGATGGTCTGTACGCTCTCCAAACATCCGCATATATTGTAGTACCCAGCTGCAGCCAGTGTTACTGGTGCTTTTATTATCCAGTTTGCAATAATTATCATAATTTGCCTCAGTTAGGATTTATATATAGGGTTTTCACTACGAATTGACATTGGCTATAATGCCAGAAATCTATTTAGCCAATTGGATGAAAGGCTTTTACGCCGATATCCGAGATCTGTTATCTTATACCTCATTGATTCGTTCACAAACTATAGTCTCGCCGTCTTATTTGTTATAGCCGCTCAATTATCACGTTTTGCACAAAAACTCTTATGAACCGGGCGTTCGTTAGCATCAGGCACTGAATTTGGCGCCGTGACTTTGAACTCTCTCAAACGCTCCTGATTGGCTCGTCCATAAATTAAAGTCTCGTCAGTCACCATTTAGATATAATGTCTAACCTAGTTCTTTATTCATAGTAAATCTCCGTCTAGTCGTTCATCCTTTCAAGTTTGTATCTTGTCATAACAACTTATGTTCAGTTATAACATTCCCAATGTCATAGTTGATGTAAAATCCCAGCTATTGTGTTACTCTAATCTATCGACATTAGAATTAACCTATCTTACCTTCGATGAGACTATAATTTATGAACGAACCAATCAGATTTAAGATAACGAGTCTTGGATTTTGGCGCGAAATTCATTCATCCATTTGGCTAAATAACATTTTGGCATTATAGTTGATGTCAGTTTGTGATGAAAACCCTAAATGTAACCTCAATTATCAACTATAAATCATAATTCTAATTCCTCACATTGGTTTATTAGGTGGACACTCTCATTATCACTTTAACATCTCGCAAAGTCGTTCATAAATGATAGTATGATCATGTAATCATTCAGTTTACTGTCATTATTTATCATACTTCAGCATAAATATGGCCTTAGAACAGTCAATTATAAAGCCATAAGTTCAATAAATAGCAATAACAATAACAGAAATCCACCCAGTTACTAATTATGAAATAAACATAAGCTAAATTGATTGACTGATTGAAGTTAGAAATGTAAACCATTGCATAACAACTCAATTAGTCGTATGCTCTTGAATTCATAACTTGGTTAGAACATAGATATACATTGTCAAAGAGTCACAAGTGATTGACCATATGGGGTGGTGGTCAATGTTATGCATGTCAGATCCTTCTTAGTACAGATCGAATCTTATCGACCACGTTACAATGTAGCCACTAGTCTAGGTGAATCGACATTGTGTGCACTATATTGAGATAAAATTATGGTTAACCAGATCATCTTGATCTTCAGTGTTTATTTAACTGAAACTAATCGGTGATGTTGAGTGGCCTATGCTCCTTCACGAGGAATAACAGGCGTAAGTAAGTAAGTAAGTAAGTAATCGGTGATGTTAGCGTCAAATAACTTTAATAGAATGATGAATAACATAGAGTCAATAGAATTGAAAATAATGAAAACCATTATGCAGTGAATGTAGACAACTGGATCCTGACTCATTAATCAAAATCCATAACAAAGAACCAAATTCTTATACAATAAAGACTGGTAGAACTCAGTAACTATGTAAATTGATGATATATAAGTGGCGATAGTTGGTAGGAAATCCTGGTTAACCTAGATTTAGTTGCGGTTGAATTACGTCATCAAGACGCACCTGAGGTTTTCATGGAAGTGACTCTCCTTGATTGATTCGAACCCGAACCACACGATCTCATACTCAAAGACATTACCAAGGCTCTACCCAGGCCACAATTTACCTCTTATAGAATTCAGATATTTACATCTAGTTGACTTGTCACAAATGGGACAAAACAGTCGTTTTGAATCCCACTACCAACCACAAACCAATATTAATAAAACAATACATTATACATAATCAACAGTTTGGAGTCGCTAAGTTAGATTCATTCATGATGATTTGTGTGAGAGTAATTTAGTTCTATGAGTCCTTTATACAGTGAATATAGACTATATTGAAATTGTGATGAACTGTAATCAGGAGTAGCATAGAGACAGAAACTAATCAGTCGGAGAGTAAAAGTCTACAGAGATGAGAGAAGAAAAGTATGAAGAGCAAAATTACGAGATTAAGATCATGCTAGAAGAAGAGTTCATACTAATTTATTTTGGATACAGTATACCACATGTTTTGTTAGTGTCTCAGCAATGTTTAGAAGATGGAATATAACTGCCATTTGATAGCTTTCTGTCTGCCTTGCAGATGAATTCAAATGCAGAATGACCTGTATTCACAAGGTGCTTTTATGAAGCCATTTCGCCCTCATTTTTATACAAGCCAAGTAATGTTCTAAAATTCTTTTGCATTATATGCACGTCGAACAACTTATATACCTGGCCCAAATGAACAGGTAATTGATAAATGCACATAGAATTGGTCAAATGAGATCATCTACTCTTAAGATTATTGGCGAACAATGATCAGCTGGAGATTACTAATCTCGAAGTTACTGCGACGAACGTTCTATTGAGAGAGTCGGAAAATATCCTCTTCAAGATGATTGTAGCTATGTCACCATAGAAATCGATTATCATCTAAAGAGTTTTCTTCAATAAAGAGGTTACCTGTGCTTTGTGCAGCTTAAGTTTTATATTCTTGTCATTAAATAACAAAGTGTACCCGTTTTCGATAAGTAATTTTTTAAGCAGGCTCAATTCGTTATCTATATCCTATGGATTACAAATTCTAGGTATCCGAATGGCGAAACATATAATTAAGTTTCACTTCGGACTAATG